TTCCATTTCTCAATTCATTAATAGAAATGACACAAAGTCCTATCAAAGAAACTATGATTTGTGCAATAGAAGCAATAAATAGTATTGCATTAAGAGATGATACATTAAATATCTTAAGTAACAAAGTTGAAGATATTGTTAAAAGAATTCAAGGGATAGAAGGAGAGGGATATTCATCTTTAATGCTTTTACTTACTAATATGGGAAGAACTGATGAAACAATTAGAAAATATAAAACATATAAAGTAACTGAACAAATAATAGAATATATTAAAATACATCCACATGATGAACGTGCATTGCTTATGTCTTTATCAGTAATTAATTCAATATCTGTACTTCATGAAAATAGAGACTATTTAACATTTGATCTTAATATTTTTGAAGTACTTAATGATTGGTATAATGTCTCAACTAACCAAGTCATTATCTTTAATATTCAGCAAATTATATCTCGTTTAATTTTAAATTCATCCCTTCGTGCTGAACATTTTATGAATCTTCCAACTGCTATTAATAGTATTATAGAAACAGCTGGATATACCGTTCGACTAATAAAAGAGAAAAGAACTCCTCAAACTTCTACAAGAGAAGTAAGAGATGTCAGAGTAGCTTATGAAGCAACAAGAATACTCTGTAATTTGATTAATTTTAAAAGTGAATATGCAAATACTATCATGAAAGATCCTTATGTCATATATGCCATTCTAGATTCAATTCATTCGCATTATCAAATCTTGAAAGATGAAGGAAATTATGCTTTAAATCGCTTGAAACAATATGAGATTATAACTGATGATGATATTAAGAAAGCTGAAGCAAGTCGTATTTGAAAAATAAAACAATTCAGTATTTATTTTCTTTGTTTTTGACACAATTTCTTATTAATACTATGTTTGTGAATCCTTTTTAATCATTTTCAGTCATTATCAAATTTAAAAATATAATTCAACATGTATCATCTCATATGTGTATGAATTATATCATTTTCATAATAATATTATCTTTAATTATTCCAATTTATATTGATAATTGAACCACATGTATTTGTTTATTCTTTTAACTTAATTCATAACTATCTATTTCATTGTTCATAATATTAGATTGATTATTATAAAGTCATATTCTTCTCTTCATGTTTTTGGCACATCAGTAATTTTCTGACAACTTGTATTAAACTATTATAGTATTACACCAACGGTTATTTATTCAAGAATTTAAATCTAATGAATCAACTAAACTAATGATGATTATATTTAGTATCTATTACAGTTGTTTTATTTGTCAAATAATATTCAAGAACATACATTATGTGATAATAATGAGTATTTATCTATTAACAATGTTTTTATCTTAATATCTTTAATATAGAATATCAAATAACTATGAATCAATGACATATTACTTATTTATGTCATTGGAGATATTCTTATTAAAAAGAAATTTATTTGACTTATTGATGAATTTGTTTAAAGAATAAGAATAATTGTGTTGTGGTGTATTTTTACTGGTATTTCAATAACTGAAAATGAGTGTTTTGTAATGCTATTCTAATCATTCAAACAATCAAATTCTTCAATAATACTTCTAATATCATTCATGTTTAAACGAATATCCTGTTATTATGACAATTAGAAGTGAATTTATTTGATACACTTTCTGTTATTAGTTTCTTTGTACAATATAAATATTAAAATAAAAAATGATTCATAAAGATAAAAACTGGTATAAAAACTTTTATCTACCCACTCTTGTAGCTAAGTGAAAGTGTCCAAATTAAGTATTAATTTAGTTTATCAAGTAACAACTGTTGTTTATAATTATTTATTGATGAAAATAAAGTACATATTTACAAACTAATCAAACAAGTTAGAAAGTATTATATATAATTCCTTGAAGTTGTTTTAAATATTCGATATTTACTTTATTTCAACATTTTATTAAATTTCATTATATTATATTATAACACTATGAATGTATCAATGGATATTTATATTACTTAATAAACTTTATTTTTATCTGAAAGGATTTTCATGATGTATAACGATTTATTTTTTATTAAATGAATAACTTGTAAAAACTAACCTGAAAAGACAAAATATACAAAATAATAATAAAGTATAAATGAAGGAAAATAATAGTAGAACTTATATCTTCGTAAGAATCTCTAACTATTTATCTTTATTCACTTTATTACTATATTATAATTCAAAGAGTGTTTATTATTCTTGTTATGTTTTTTTCTTTATATGAATTATTATCACAAATGGTATTTAACAAGTTTAGTTTTTATTATTTAACGAATAAATCATATTTGATGTGTAAATTATTGTTATTACTTAATATCTTATTTGTTTTAAAATGATTATATTACTCAGAAAAGCTAAAGAAGAAAAATTATTGAATGAAAGATTGTAATACACTCAAATTAATATTTAAATGAGAAAAAAACTAAAAAAATATCATTGAATAAACATAAATAAAATCAAATGAAAATCATTTCCTCAACATTTACTTTTAATCTTCTTGCTTGTCTTCTTTTTCTGAACTTTCTTCTTCCTCTTCTTCGTGGACCAAAGGTTGTATATATTAGAACCACCACACAAGCATTAAAATCAACCCAATCATTGAACTATCAATTATCATTTGGTTATGGTATTGTCTTTGATGAGAAAATACTTATTCAAGACTAATTGGTTATTATTTATTAGTATTTATTATGAACAATTATTAATAAAGGATTAATTATTGTGGTAATATTATTTATTTAACGACGTACAAATATATTTAATAATGATAGTTATAAATTTAATATATAAAGTATTATCAAGAAAAAAGTGATTGTTGAAATTGAAAGAAATGAAATATAGTCATAGTGTTATTTACATACTCAACATAAAATAATAATATAAAGAATGAGGAATTTGACTACTCAATAAAATTACAATAAAAATCAAATACTAACTTCAACGAAGAATAACTAAGTAGAAATAATTGAAAAGAATTTACTTCAACAGAAATAATATTAGTTGAAGAAACTGAATCACTCACTTCTTAGAACGACGAAACACTAAATATTAAGTGAGTCATAGGTAATGTGTTTTTTTAATGTTTTGTTGATAATATCATAAACCATTTCTAATCAATAAGTATTTAAGAAGTTTAAAAGGGTTTTTATTAACAAGATCATTTTATTTAAAAAAATGTCTGATTCTTGGATAACCAACTTTCAAGAAGTAATACTTTATTTTCCTTCATTAAATAAAATCAAAGAAGTAATGCTAATTTCTCGTCGTGCACAAGTTGCTGTTTTAACGATGACTAGTTGTCCATACAATATTATGTCATACAACACACCAATTGAAGTTAGTACATTTTTTACTAGATTAAAAGTTTTAAACTTTCCAACAAATTATAGTACATTACAAGCCAAAACCCTTCCAACAACTCTACCACTTATTTTCAGAAATATTGACTCACGATTTTTTCAACAATTTTTATTCAATCGATTTGGTCAACATATTTTAAGAGTTAGTTTACAAAAAACCTTTATTACTAAATTACCAAAATACATTCATTTATTAGTCAACATTAAAACACTTGTATTATTGGAATCGTATCATCCTGAAGTGATTTTAATTATGGAAAAAACAAAAGCCCAAAAATGTATTTTATATTGTGGAATAGCTGAACTTAAATCTATTGTTTCTCGATTTAATTTTAAAAAGAATTCTATTTCAAAATTCATATTTATTGTAGAGAAATGTGTTTATACAGAAGAACTTACTAATATATGTAAAGATATACCTTCTAAACATCAAGTATTTGTTAATTTTTTATCTTATTCAACAAAACAATTTTCATTTATTCCAAGATTAAGACAACCATTTATAACTTCTATTCTTACTGATGTTATTGATAAAGATGACATGTTTATTAAGAAAACAATTAATAAAGCACAAATTCAATCAATAAAAATTATTGATACAATTAAAGAAATAGATTATTGTAGTCAAAAATCATTTAATATTAATTTTGATTCAATTATATCTGTTTATATCGCTTGTAAACAATCATCGCCATTTATTATTGGAAAGATTGTAAAAGATTTAATGGTTGAAGAATTTCATGGACCTTTAATATGTGATGAAGCACAATTACAAGATATTAACATAAAAAAATATTTTAATGGTTTACTATTTATTGATGACACTAAATTAAAACATGTTTCAATTTCAGAATTACTTTTTATAACTTGGAAACATTGTAATGAATTGATGAAAAATATAATATTTATCTCAAATTTATTACTTAATTCAAATCAAATGAATGACATTGGTACACCATCAAAGAATATTAAAGTAATATTTGAATGTGATAATTCTCTTATTCTTCCATGTTTTGATCATATTTTCTTTGGAAATAAATCATTATCCATTTCATTTACTCATTTTAATGCTTTGCATTTTAATACATTTCCAATTGATTCATTAACTGCATCATATTGGATTGGAGAATATGTTGATTTTTCTTGTATGAAAAGAGTATCATTAAAAAGTTGTACAATAAAACAATTACTCTTTCAAAAGAATATTTTTGAATCAATTGAATTAACACAATGTAGTATTGAAACTATTATTATAAACTCTTCTAATTTAATTAATTTAGAAAAATCAATATTTCAAAATATTATTATTGAATTTGTATCATATTGTACAATGACACAAGTTAAAAGTGTATTATGTCAATTAAAAGAATGTTCATCCTTTATTAAAAAGGATTGTTTATTTAAAAAAATAGAATGTAATTTGAATTATTCTAACTAAATTCCTTCATTTATAATTCCATTATGTTTACTTCTTAATGCATTCAGCATACCCTGACTCTCTCATATTTTCCATTGAACAAAGTTTTTGTTTTCTACAATTTCCTTCACAAGAATTTGGTAGTTCAGTTGAAAAATGTTTCATGAATTTACTCCATGCAACATTATCATTCTTTAACATATAATGTAATCTACCAATTTCAGAATTACCAAGATTAACTAATCCATATTCTTCTTGAGTATTATAACTTTTGACCCAAGTATATTTATGTTCTGCATTACATTGATCAAGATTAAGATAGTATGTTGTATAATCAATAATATGTTGATCATTGAATTTATATAATCTTAAAGAAGGATTTGATCCTTTTGGAGTCATTGCTGGATTAATAATTACACTATAAAATGGATCTTCACCAGGATATAAACGATATCCTTCAATATGATTATGACCAGCTAAGTGACCAATAATAACATCAGAATATTCTTTATATAATTCTAAGAAATCCCGAGTGAAATATGGATTAACATCCATCATTCCTGTAATTTTAAGTCCAATAGATTCATGAGAAATAATAATTGCTTTTTGACCTTTTTCTCTCAATACTTTTAATGTAGCATTAAACCACATCATCATTTCTCCAGGATCTGTTTTTGGATATTCTCCAGCATGTGAATTCATAATATCAAAATAAGCAGTTTGTAATGAAATAATATTTATTCCACTTGGTAATTGGTGAATATAATATCCTCCTTTTTTTGTAGTAGCAATTTCTTCAGGAGATAACCAATCTTTCCACCATAAACTCATATTATTTAACATCCACTGACTCTTTGGTGGAAATGCCCAAAAAGAAGTTTCAAAATAGTCATGATTACCAATTGATGGTAATACCGTAAATCCAGGGAGTCTTCGTTTAAGTTCATTATGAAACATTTCTAAGTCATTAAGATTTCTTTGTTTAGTCATTTGGAACATATCAGATGGAATAACGTCCATTAACCAAATAACATTTTTAGATATACTTTCATGAGACTTAATGAAATCCATTCCAGACATAATTGTTTCTAAAGGAGCATGACACGAATGATGTCCACAAAATTGTGCTGTTTCAAAGTTATTTCCTTTAGGTACTGAATCTTCATGACAACACTATATTTAAATTAATAGATATTATTTTATTTATTCTATTTTTCAAACAAACGTCAATGCTTTTACAATGAGCATATCCTCCTTCAGCAAATTTAGAATCAAAGTGGGTATCAGAAATAACCCAAATATAATCTTCTATTGAAAAACATTGTACTATAAAAATGAAAACAAAAATTTTCATTTAAATTGATATTTTCAAGTTCTTTTTTATTTAATTTTTTTTTTATTATTACAAAAATAGTAAACTATTGGTATATATTACATTTTTTTTTTGAATAATAAATAAATGAGATTCATTTCACTTTATACAATAATTGTAAGCGATCAAGTACTTGCTCTATGACTAAACGGTCTTTAGGATTTTGTTTCCAACAATCACAAATAAGTTTGTATACTGAGTCTGGCATTTCATTGACTTGTTGTAGTCTTTTACCAGAAATAACAAATTCAGCAATGTTCCATATATATACAAATTTTTCTTTGTCATAAGCTTCACCCCACTTAAAGCATTCATACATTGTAATTGCAAATGAATAAATATCAGCTTCTTTTTTATAATATTCTTTAGTTAATAATTCTGGTGCCATATAAACAGGTGTTCCTATTCCTTTTGTGAATGTTATATTTGTCATTAATGTATTTATATTTCTTGAACTTCCAAAGTCTGTTAATTTACAATTAATTTGAACATCTTCAGATAGAAACAAAACAAGAATATTATCTGGTTTAATGTCTCTATGTAATATTCCATTTACATGAAGATATTGAATTCCATTAGCAGCATCTATCATAAATTTAATTCTTAATTTAATAGGAATAACCTCCTTTTTTAGACTAAACAAATTTCTAATACTTCCATATTCTGCATATTCAGTAATTAAATACCTTTTATTTTTAAATAAAACTGATCCATAGAAATAAATAATATAATCACTTCTAAACTTATCTAACATTGAAACTTCTTTCTCAAATTCTTCTTTAATTTTTATATTATATGACCTATCTTTCATGTCTTTAATAGCAACTATATGTTCCCTAAATCTTCCTTTAAAAACAACACCACTAGTCCCTTCTCCAATTTTATTGTCAAAGATAATTTCATCTATATCTAATTTTGTTGTAATTTCTGTTTCTCCTTTAAATTTAAGATATCCTACTTCTTCTTTACCACTATTAATTGATTGACAAACAATAGTTATTTTATTATTTAATTTAGAACTACATAATGGAGTAACTGTTAGTTTGAATTTACATGCCTCACCTTTTTTCAATAAGATGATAGCAGGATCTATTTTAATCAGAAACTTTCCATTCTTTTTATTTAATACAATCTGAATCTTAATTAAAGATGAACTAAAATTTCCTAAGTAGAAATATGATACACATGGTTGTTGTACTTTAATTACAATATCATGACCTTCTAACAGAAGAATATCACAGTTACATTGAATCCATTTATTAATTCTATACTTAAAATTTATTGAACTTTCTTTTATTTTAAATAGAGTACAATGAAGATGTTGATGATGTTGAACAAGAAAATGTTGGTATCTATTGATAATACAATAAAAAACTATTAGTATAAGCACAAAGAGACAAAGGATGAATAAGATCATTAATATAATCAACCACCATTCTATATAAGATGAACAATAAGTTCCATCATCACTAGGACGATACCAAAAAGTACATTTTTGACATTTTGATTGAAGAATAATTTTACAATGATCAATTCCTTCTAATGAAATACATCTTGATCTGCTAAATACCAACTCTTCATTACAAGAAGTACACTCATTATATTCATTACATGTACGACATGTTCCATTACATTGTTCACATGTATTAACATCACGAAAAAATCCATCTTTACATTGTGTACAACCAAATTGAGTAATTTCTACTGCACATCCTTGTAATGTATTTTTTGATAAACAACTTCCATTATAATGTTGATAATAATCATCAGCACATGTTAAACAATGTTCATAAAAACATGTTTTACATTCAATAGGACATTTGATACAATCAAATTCATTTAAAAAATAACCATCTTTACATAATGAACATCCACCAATAGGAGTAAAAATACTACATTTTCCAATTAATTCATCATTTGATCTACATTTATGATTTGATAAAAATGAAGTAGAATTACATGTTAAACAATACGTTTCTGATAAACACGTTTGACATTTTTCACAAATATGACAAGTATTTTGTTTTGTTAGATAATATGTATCTTCACATCTTCTACATGGCATTCCTTGATAATATTGTTGGCAATGTTCATCTCTAAATATACATGAAATTCCATCAAAATACATTAAATCTTCACATTTAATACATTCATTTCTATTATATAAAATACAATTATTAATTGGTTCAACACAATGATGATTAATATCAAGTATTTTATTTTCAATACATCCTTGACATATACCATTTTGTATTACATTACAATTTTGTTCTAATACACATTTTCCATCACTAATAAAATATCCATTTTCACATCTCTTACATCTTTCTTTCTCACATAAAATACAATGAGAGTCAAAAGATAAACAAGAAATACATTTATTAAATGATAAATAATAACCATCTTTACATTCAAATTTATTTTGTTTATTTGAATCAAAAACACATTCTTCTTGATTAATATAAGAATGAAATAAACATTCTAAACATTTTGTATTTGTACAAAACTCACAATTATTGTCGTTACATTCTTGACATTTAAACGATGTATTTAAATACCCAAAAGAACATTGAACACATCTATTGACAATAGCAACTAAACAGTCTGATTCTATTAAACAATTCCCTTCATGAAGAATATACCCAGAATCACATAATATACAAACTCTTTCATTTGTTTTTACATTAAAAAGATCCCATATACAATTAGAATAAATGCTTTGAACTAAATCAAATCCTGAAGGAATAACACCTTCTTCAATACACATTTTATTCATTAATTTATATTTTTCAAAGCAAATAAGACAATAACAAATTTCATCGATACATTCAATGACATGACAATTATTTATTGATTGATTTTGATTAACAGTCATATCAGTATTTGTAATAAGAACATATCTTCCAGATATCGATTTAATTGAGGAATTAATTGATTGAACTAAAATAATAACTTCTTTTAATGACTCAATTGTTAAATTAATATTATTTAAAGAAAGAATTGATTCAACAACTGCATTATCAGAAATAGTCAATGTTGCTTGTCCTCTTTTAAAAAAATTATCAATACTTATTGTGTTAATGAGTGAAGTATAATTGTAAGTAAATTTAACATTTAAAAAACTTGAAGAATATAAATCAGATAATTGCAATTTATTACCAAACTGAATAAAATTACATTCCTTAATTATTTGAATTTTAATAGAACATTTAATACAATAGAAATATAATTCTTTAATTTTTATTAATGAAAGAATAATTAAAGAATGTGATGAATAAATATTTGTATTTGGTAAATTTATAAATTGAAAATTAGCATAATCAACATCTATTATCAATGAACATTCTTTATTTAATTCTTCACATGGACAATGAGGAAAAGTAAATGGATATGAATAATCTGATAAAGATAATGATGATTTATATATTGTTCCATTCATATAACATTTAACTGAATAATCAAATGAAATTGAAGAAGAACAATATCTAATAAGACGTTGGTTACTAACTAATTGAAGAGTATTTTCAAGAATTGGAAAATCAGTTGATTTATAATCATTTGAACTTGAATCATTATTTAATACAGATGAATCTATTAATGAAAATATATCAATACATCCATTAAATGAAGTTGGAATAATAATATTAAACATTTTTTTATCTAGTTGTAAATTATTACATCTCCATCCTTCAAATAATGGAACATTATCATTATTTGGATAAATAACCATTGAACCAAGTAAATGCCATTGTCCATTCGCAATAATTTTTGCTCCTTTATTAATTGTTATTGTACCTTTAATTTGTATATTTCCATTTACTGTTAATAAAACATTTGAATTAAGTTGAAGTGATGTAAAAGTCATAAAATATTGTGATGTTATTGTTACACTTGAATAAACAAATAAATTACCAAATGAAAGAATGTTATTTCCCTGAAATTTTGTTTCCCAATCACCATATAATATATAATCACACCCATCTCCACTATAACTACATTCCTTATCTAATTTTTGGGTATTAGAATAAATAATACATTGACATCCATTCGTTAGACATATAAAAAAAAATATATTAATTAGTGGCGTCACACTTGTGATCACCATGATTAAGATTTTATTTTTGTGTTTTTTATTATTCTTTTCTTTTACAAACCTATCTCATTCTTTAATTTTTTGTACTTTTATTTATTGAAATTTTCTCAATTTATATAAATAAATTTTTGTTAAAAAACATTTTTTGATTTACTTTTGTTTTATGACTAAAGTATCTTTTTGAGAAGTTACAACAACTACTTCCTCAAAACTATAAACATAACTCTTAACAATAAATTGTCATTGACTTGAAACAAAAGAGTAATTTCTTTTTATAATTTAGTTTTAAAGATGAAATTAAGAAATTAAAAAGAACAAAAAGACTGATATATTAATAGTACATTTTGTTAATATAAAACTAAACATAATCATTAAATTGAAGAAAGATCAATTTTATGTATTATTCAAAAAACCCTGTTCAAAAATTTTAATTAAATATCCGAACTAAGATTCAATCTTATTACTATGTCAGCTGTTCATCTTACTCAATCTTATATTAAGTCATCTCAAAATACTGAAATACAATTTAATGTTTTTGCACAAAAATACCAACATATCCGTAGTCTTGGAGATAAGCCATTATTTAAATTCATTAAGGCTGATGGAAATGAACCTGCTGTAGAATATAATTTATTCCAATTTCAAGATAAAGTAGATATAATCTCATCTGCACTCTATACAACACTTCATTTAAAGAGAAAAGATGTTATTGCTATATACTTACCAAACTGTGTTCCTTTCATTATTATGGAAGCAGTAATAGAATCTTCTGGATTTATTATGATGCCATTCAACCCAACATATACTTCTGATCAATTATCTCGTTTATTCCCTCGAGTAACACCAAAGTTAGTTGTTACTATAAAACGTTTCCTTCCAAACATTCGTAGTTTTAATAAAGAAGTCAAAGCATTATTAGTTGATGCTTCACAAGAAGAAATAATTTCTATGAATGACTCTTATCTTTATTCATTATCTTCTCTATTACAAGTACCAATTAATAAAGAGCTTCTTCAAAATGAAAGAAATCAAATTCAACCAGAAGATGAATTATTCTATGGTTGTACTTCTGGTTCAACAGGAATTCCAAAAATATGTGTTTATACAAATAGAGAATTTACAGGAAATATTGTTTCAATTAGTTCTCAAGTTCCACCAGATGAACGAAAAACATTAGCTTTTATTCCTTTTTTCACTACTACCGGGCACATTGTATTATCAACACTTATATTAAAAGGATATTACCATGTCTGTATGGATAAGTTTAATACTGAAAAGGTTTATGAAATTGTTCAAGAAAATAAAATTACTAATATTTCTGGTGCACCTTCTGCTTTTATGGCTATACTAAAACATCCAAATAGATCTCATTATGATCTTTCTTCATTGAGAGAAGTTATTATGGGAGGTGCTGTAGCTTCAGATTCTTTTATTGAGTCTTGTAGACAAACCCTTCATTTAGAATTTTGTTGTAGTGGATTTGGAATGACTGAACTTTGTGGGTTAATGTATAAAATGCCATCTAAAGCAACTCATATTCCTGCTGGTCCAGTTGCTCATTATGAAGTTAGAGTAGTTGACCATGAAACTAGAGAAATTTTACCTATTGGACTTGCTGGAGAATTAGAAGTACGTTCTCCTATAATGATGAAAGAATATTTGAATAATCCTGAAGCCAATAAACAAGCATTCACTGAAGATAGATGGTTTAGGACTGGAGATGAAGCTGTTTTAGAAGAAGATGGATTTATGAGAATTACTGGAAGAGTTAAAGAAATGATTATTAGAGGAGGTCATAATATTTGGCCAGCTGAGATTAATGACACTTTAATTAAACATCCAAAAATTCAAGAAGCTGCAGTTATTGGAATTCCAGATAAAATTCAAGGAGAGACTGTTGTAGCTTTTGTTGTTATTAAAAAAGGTTGTTCATTTGATAATCTTGAAAAAGATTTGAAAGAGTTTTTGAAAGAAAAACTTGTTCCATTTTCTATTCCAACTTATATATTTGCTATTGAAGACATGCCTAGAACATCTTTTGGAAAAGTGTATGCTCCAAAATTAAAAGAAATTGTTAAAGATTGTATTAAAAAGAGATGGGAAGCTCTTATTCAAGAAAATCATAATCCAGTGATAACTCAAGAAGGAAAAGAAATTGCTCAATTATGGGCAGATATGTTTGATATTCCAATTAATGCATTATCAAGAGATTCTAATTTCTATAATTGTGGAGGAGATTCTTTTGTTGGATCTCAAACAGTTACTATTATTAGAAAGTATGTTAAAGATGCACCATTTAATTTGTTAATATGTAAACAAACCCTTGGTGAAATTGAAGATTATATTGCTCATCCAAATGAAAATGTTATTGACACTGGTAAAATTCTTAAAGAAGACATTGAAAAATTAAACCAAATGAGTGAAGAAGAATTATTTGGAACAGAGCAATATAATGAAGAAAATGAAAATAGAGATGCTATTGTGATTACTGGTGCATGTGGATATCTTGGAGTCTATATTGTTGATGCTGTAGCAAAGAATAAAAATATTAAAAAAATTTATTGTATTGGAAGGAGTGTTGATTTATCAGAATTAAATAAGAAAATGATATCAATGATGAGAAATGTCGGATTACAAAAGAATGAAATGATTGAAATGATTGTTGGAGATGTTTCTAAAGACCATTTTGGTATTGAAAATACAAAATATAATGAAATGAGAGAAAGAAGTAAAGTTATTATTCATTGCGCAGCTATTGTTAATTGGAATAAATCATACTCACAACTAAAAGAAACAAATGTTAATGGTGTAATCAATGCAATTAAATTTGCAGGTAAATCTATTATATGTAGTTATATTTCTACTATCGGAGCTGCATTAAATCAAAATGAAACAATTTCAGAACAACTTCCTGTTTCTTCATTTGGTTATATTCAATCCAAGTGGATGGGTGAAAAGATAATAGAAAAAGCAATGAATTTAGGCTATCGTGTTAATATAATGAGACCTGCATTTATTGTTGCAGATTCAACAAAAGGTATTTGTAATACTGACGATTTCATCTATAAATTTATCCGTGTTTGTGTTATGAATAATATTGGATTATCAGGACCAGCTTTAGACCTTACTCCAGTAGACAAGGTAGCAGAGGTTATAGCAAAAAATTGTATGGTTGTTGGTAAAATTATCAACTTACTTCCTCAACAACAAGTCCACACAGAAAAAATCTTTTCTATATATAATACTCTCTATCATTCAATCCCTATTTTCAATTATAACGAATGGATAAATAAATTTACTGAACTTGCTCATTCTGGATGTGTAGATGCAATCAATTTAATACCTTCATTGTATGTATTAAAAATACAAGCCAAGCTTCAATCTAATTATTTGAAAGAAACAAACCAACAAATAGTTCTAAACTTTAATGATGACATGATATCTTTGAACTTAAATAAGTTAAATGAAATAGGATTCTTTACTACATCTTGTAAGGGGCTTATTTCTCGTTCAAAGTAATTAAATCATTTGTTAATTTTTTAAACTTAATTACAATAAAAAGTATGATTAGTTGATATTAAAACTAATTTTTTAATCATCTTTAAACAATTTATTATTTAGTCAAAGGTTAGAATTGAAAAAATTAACAATAAACATTTCCTATTGTAGCTATTGATTTATCTAATGAAAAGTAATTATTCTTTCTTTTTATAAAAGAAATATATTTTATAAACCATGTTAAATTTAAAAACGTAAAAAAAAGACTTGTTTATTTAATAAGACATTAAATTAGTTATTTATATCAATATCCCCAATGATTCTTTTTGTTTCTTCAATATCATCAGTTATTTTTCTTAATAATTTTTTCTTTTCAATTAGTTCTTCTTTTTCTTTATCATTTAATTCATATTTATGTTGAGAAATGTAATGTTCAAACAAATTTTTTAACTTAGTGCATTCATGAATTCGATGTTGTAGTTCCTCCAATTCTTTAATTTCTTTTTTTACAACATCCAAATAATTATCTGAGAAACAATTATTGTTTAATGAAATTTCTTTTTCTAATTTAAAAATTTGATGATTATCTGATTTATTAGAACATTCAATTGCTCTTAAATAGTTTCTAATAACCCAATTGTATTTATATTGGCCAATTCTTTCATCTTTTTGTACTTTACTAGAATTCTGGAAAGGAAATACATAATCATCATTATCACTTATAACAATGTCATAGGGTTGATAACAATAGAACCATCGTTCTAGTCCAATAGAAAGATAATTTGAATATATTATTTCATCTTTAATAATTCCAATACAATTTTGATTAATTTTAACTTCAGTAATAATTGACTTATTTTTATTTTCAACAATAAGTTCTCCACCATTTGTTAATTGATCAACTTCTGGATATAAAACATTACCAATTTCAATACTTTCTTTCTCAATAAAACGTTCAATAGATAAATATAAAAAATTTTCTTCTATCTCATTTAATAGTCTCAATTTTGTTCCTACTTGTACTGCTACTAAAGCAGCTCCTTTAGCAATAACACATTCTTTATTCATTGTATTTTTTACATTTAAATGAAGTTTATTTTCAATAATGGTTTTAATACAACCTAATCTAGAACCACCTCCAACAAATTCTATATCAGTTAATCGTAAATTAATACGTTTTTGAGTTATTTCAATAATCCTTTGTACTAATAAACAAATAACTTCATTATATTCTTCAAACCAACTTTCAAATTCAGTCTTAGTAACATTTTCAATAAATTCATTATTGTTATTTAATTCAATTTTTAATGTTGATTCAAGTACGTTTTGACTTGAAAAAGAGAATTTAAACTTATTGATATCTTCATCAATCTTATTATAAAATTTTAATTTCTTTTCTTCATCTAAAGATTGTATAAATTCTTTTACCTCTTCTTTTTCACGCATTAATTCAATACATTTATTTTTAATTATATAACTATAATCTCTTCCCCCAATATTTATAGTTTCATTTGATATAATTTCTAATGAATTTGAATGAAACCTAAATACTGAACAAGTTGTTTCAGATTCTCCAACATTAAGAACCATTTGTGTAGTTTCTTTATTATTTATTGTATTAAATGATGGTATGTCATATGTCCAATAATAAAGTCCAATACAAATACAATCTTCAACACATTGTAAACAAGGCATTTTAGCTAATTCACATGCATATTCAATACGTCTTCTCTCTTGAAATGAATAATTAGATGATATTGATACAACACAATAATCTGATTGTGTTATTTCTTTTATCATTTTAAACATTTCAACAAGCATACTTTCAATATGAATATTACCAATATCACCACATTGTAAAATTCCATTTTCATCACATTGAACATTTGAAAATTTATTTTCTTGAATTTTTAATTCATTATTATCAACTTGAATTAATTTTTTTAATCCAATAATACAATTTTTTGGTCTTCTTTTAATTTGACTTTCATTTCTATCAACACCACATCGAATTTCTTTTTTAATACATGAGATACAATTCGAAATTGAATGTTTTCCTATTGGTGAATCAATTATATCAACACCTCCATTATAATATTTTCCAATAACTATATTTTCATTTCCAAAATCAATACCTATAATGCTATACCTTTGTTTTCCTTTTTGTTGACTTGTACGCATCTCTTAAAGTAATTTCTTGTTTTTTTTAGTTCATTTTATAATTCTTATTTACTTTCATTAAAAAACAACAAAAATTCAATTCATTCTGTTGATATTAAATGTTCTACTGGAACACAAGATAAATCTAAACTTGCTTTACAACAAATAAATTGTCCTGTTGCCATCTCTTTTGCAATTGGATAATCAACAATACTGTTTGGCTCTGCAAAATCAAATCTTGCTGAAACACTACTTGAGTTAAACCGTTGAAAAGCTTCACTACATTTTTGATGAGAATCATATTTAATAAATCCCTCACTAAATAATAAGTATTATTTACTTCTTTTAGTATTCACTTTTATAATACAAACGATGGAGATAACATTTCAATTGCTTGTACTTGTATTTTAATTGAATTAAATTCAGAAATAACAGTTCCAATATCACTCCAATTGGATAAACCATAAAAGAATAATGTGTCAGTCTGTGGTTGATTCATCAAATACTATTTTCTTAGTATTTTTATCTAAAATAAAATAATAGTAAAATTTATAATTTAAATATAGTTTAAAATATAAAAGAAAGTGATAAGTCATAATTGATCTTATTAAATTAATATGAACAATCCTCAAAATGAAGGAAAGATTTTAACAAAAAAACAAAAAAAGAATAAACGTAGAAATGGAAAACAAATATCTCCACTAAAAGAAGAAAGAATGAATTATTTATTTTCTATTTCTTCATTAATGACACAATTTCACCCTGTTACTGGACAACACTGTGGATTGTCCATTCGAAATTTAGCTCATAAATATGTTTCAAGAATATCTAAAACATGGAAACGAAAGTATTGTACAAAATGTTGGATGCCATTAACTTATTCATCATTTAAAACACAATGTTTGTTTGTTTTTTATGTTTTATTTAAGTTGGATGACTAAGCACATAGTAATAAATGGTAAATATTTTATTGTAACACATTGTTATTGGTGTCATTATAGAAGATTATTCTATTTACCAGAAGATCCTAATGAGTAATCAATTGTGAGTGATTTGTATCTTTTTTTAAGAGTCATTTTTCATAAAATAGAAAGAAAGTTGAGATTGAGTTAAAATTAAGAATCATCAGTTTATTTTTAATTATAAACCATAAACGTTAATGAAAGGAAAAATAGAACTAATAATAATATTACCAAAAACTAAAAATAGTATTTTAAGAGAAGTTTCAATTATTTAAAGTAAAAAAGAATTACCAGATGTAAAAGGAGACCAAACGAGATGGAACCCACTAAAGAAAAAAAAGACAAAGGTGAAGAGAAACAAAGAAAAAAAGAAGAAAAAGAAAAGAAAAAACTTGAAAAAGAGCAAGAGAAATTAAAAAAGAAAGAAGAAAAAGAAAAGAAAAAGAAAAAAGAAAGTCAAACAAAAGAAGAGAAATATGCACCTAAAAAAGATAGATCAAAACGAAGAACATTATTTTTCTTTAAGAAAAAAGACAAAAAAGAATTACCAAAAAGTTTAACACCAGAATTACCTAAAATTAATAAAGAAATACCATCTAATGGTTTATATCTACCAGTTGAACAAACAGTAATACCAAAAGAAATAACAAAACAAAGTATTGATTTACAAACCGATGCTTCTAGGAATAGTGCGTCTGAAGAAATTCATTTATTACCAAAACATGTTTTAGAAAATGTTTTAATGGTATCTACTCAAATTGAAAAAAAATTTAATTTTTCTGAATACCAAGAAGAGATTGATTCATTTAGAATGTTAAACCTTAATCAAATAGCATATGTTGGACGTGATTTATATTTATCTTCTTTAATCGATGTACTTCATTTATTACCTTTAATTTATGATAAAGAATATGCTCGACAATTATTGTTTTATTCTCACGAATTTGATCCAGAAGAAATATTAACTGATTTAGTCTCTTGTTTTGCTAATTCATTTGATTCAACAAAACCACAACGTGAAAAATATTGTACAAATTGTGTTAAAATTATTTCTTCTTGGTTAACAACAAGAGGAGATACTTTTACTAATGAAAAATTATTACTTCTTGTTAGAGATTTTGTTGAAGTTTTAAAACAACTTGTTACTACAAATGGATTCTTACAATCTGCTGTTGATGAAGTAGATAGTAATTTAGAAAAAGTATTTGTTTCTAAAGGAGTTGTTTCTATTCAAAAACGAGTGTTAAATCAAGTAAAAGTCGTTGGTCAAGAAGGGGATATAACATTCCCAGAAATTACAATTTTAGATGAACAATGTCTAGATTTAATTCCTGAACAACTTGCCATTATAGAATTTATGTTTTTATCAAGAATTAATCCATATGATTATTATTGTTATTTAGATAAACAAACAAGAGAGTCATCAACAGTAAAAAGTTATATTTATTGGCATAATTTAATATCTCAATGGGTTGCTTATGAAATATGTAGACATGAAGATATTGACAAAAGATATGAATGTATTACAATGTTTTTCCAATTGTTAATAAAACTTATTCAAAAGAAAAATTTCAATTCGTTTGTAAGTGTAATGAATGGATTAAAACACCAAACAGTCAAAAGGTTAATGAATACTTGGAATAAATTAACTAAAAATGATTGGACTGTTTATCAAGATTTAGAAAGTGTTCAACAAAGTATTAGGACTAACAATTCATCTATCACTTTACAACCTCCTTGTGTTCCTGATTTTATGCAACAAATTGAAAGAATGCAAAAGATGTATGATAAAAAGAAAAGAGAAAAAAATATTTCTTCAACTAATTTAAATGAAAATAATGAACCAGAATATATGATTGATCTTTCAAAATATGCTAGAATAGGTGCAGTGATCGATGTATTAGGAACATATTCTGTTGGTTCAAATTATAAAGAAAATAAACAAATGAATGAATTCTTCAAATCAGCTTTACAAAAATTACCATTAGATGATTTTAGTCTTTTAGACCTTTCCTTAAAAGTTGAACCTCCTCAATAATAATTGTTTTCTCAGATTGTTTCGTTAACTCATATAATTCATAGTAAAATAATGGTAAAATTTTAATTCAATGTAGTTCTTTATTTTTCATTCTACAAATTATTTTTTGCTATTTAAAATAATTCTTTCATTTCATAACTAATTTTTTTCTTTACTTATCATTTTTTCTATCTCTGGTTTAAGAATCTTAACAATAAAATCTTCAGTAAAATAGAGAAGATTCAAAAAAAAAAATAAATTAATTACTTATCAATATAAAGAAAATTTGTCTCACTATGACTCTAATAATTGAACATTCTTATTCTGTCATTTTTCTATCTCATCTATGAAAATATAATTTTTTTATGTTTTTATAACTAAGATTATTTTTTATATTCAAAATATTTTAAATAAAGATAATCATTTATTTTTAATACCACCAAATAAAATTGAATAACATTGATTTATCTATTATTTTGTAATGAAATTAAATTTACAAATAAATAACATCTATGAAATAAAAAACTTCTTTTTATAATATAAATAAGAAAGTATTTAACAAAAAAAACAATAAATCATTGTTTTATATAACAAAAAAATAACAAATAAATACTTTTAATAAAGAATCCAAAATTAAAGCTTCCAATACTATTGTATTGGTGCGTTCCTTTGTCAGTATTGCTTAATAGATCTTAATTGGTGCACCCATAGAACTCTTAATGTAAAGACATTTAATGTTTTGCCATCCTTTCTTAAGAAGTGAAACTAAGAATGAAATTGATCTTTCAATGTTAGCAACTAATTGGTCTTCAGTTAATTTAACATTTCCAACAGCAACACCCATGCACAATACTTTCTTTAATTGGAATTTAACTTGGCATTGAAGTTCGTTAATTTTAACTTTAAGGTCTTCATTCTTTCCAAGAAGGGTTGGGAATTTACCAGCCTTGTTAAGTCCTGGACCAAGGATCTTTTGTAATTGTCTCAAAACAGAGTCTGATGCAAGGAATGCATTGTATTTTCTGGCTAATTTCTTAACTAACTTTTTGTCTTTATTTAAAGCTTTAAGGGCATCAACATCCATGAATGGAATATTTTCTTTTTGAGCAGCTTCACATGCTTGGGCATCTCCAAGAACACAAACCTTATAGTTAGCTTTAGTGATATTTGGTAATTTGACTGAACCAGCAAAACGTTTATCTTTATCTGGATCATAGTTCTTAAGTGCGATTTGAAGTTCTACAGTTTCAACGAACTTTCTTTCTTTCTTTTCTTTAAGAATAGTAGCAACACCTTGACGTAAAACAGCGCTTGAGACTTTGGACATCTTGATTATTTAAGATTCAACAGTTTCTCTTATTAAACCTAATTTTCATTATAGTTTTATTTTATTATAATTTTATTATAATTAATGAAACTATATAAATAATAAAAAAAATAATAAAGAATAATAGAGATAAAAAGAACAAAATAAATTAGTTCCAAAGCTGAAAATGAGTTTATCAACTAACTTTGTACAACTCTTAACTCAAGATTTTTCAGGTAATTTTCCTCAATATAAACAATACTTGTATTCTATCGTTAATAGTCAGTATGATGTTGTGAAAAATTTATTTAACCAAGTTATTGGCAAATATCCATTATACTGTCATTCTAAATTATGGAAATTGTTTGTTTTATAAATGATAATAACCATTTATTTATAAATGATATAATAACATGTTAGATATATCGATTTATCTTTCTCTCGTGGATTTAATGAGTTTTTAGATGTTATATGGGTTTGGTTATTACAAGCTCCACCCACACCTTCTACTGCACTATATCTTATTGAGAAAATTAATGTATTTCAAGCCTATTTTGCTCCTCACAAAATGCAAGAGTTTGTTATTTATTTGAGTAAAAAGAAAGAGTCAAATTCAAAATATATTCTTTTGTTTTAAAACAAGAGACTATTGAAGGCTTGAGTATTTTTGTTTTTATAATTATTTTTTCTTCAATACTCTCTCTTAATATGTTGAGTTCATTCTTCTTTGAAGTTGATTCTTATTTTTATTCTTTTCTTAGTCTTTGTATTTTATCTATCATTTCATTATTTACCTCCAAGTTTATTAATGGACATTGTTGAAAAAGTTGGACTTGCACCAAATATGAATAAACTCTGGGAATTGATGATTAATAATACTATTGATATAAAAGAGAAAGAACAACTCTTTTCTATTTATCATGACTTTTATCCACCAATTCCTGATAAACAATCTCCAACAAAACAATTAATGCGATTTAATGAAATTCAGATACAAACAATCTTTTATCAAGAACTTAAACACGGCAAAAAGTTATTAATACAAAAAAGAACTAAAGGACAATCCCAAAATAGTCCTTTCGTAAAGACTTATATTGATCTCTTGGAAACAGAATATAAAAGACTTAAACAAAACATTTTCTCTGATATTTGTCCTATCACATTTGGTTCTTTCTTCTATTTCATAGAGAAAGTTGTTTCATTACTGGTTAAAATGTTCCCATTTAAGTTCGACCTTATTTATAAATGGCTAAGACGTGAAGGTAAAAGTATTCTTAAATTATCTAGTTTCCTTAATTCACAGAAACAAAACACAGAACTACAACAATTTAGTATTCAACAACTCTTTATTAAAAGAAGCATTAGATTCCAAATGAACCTTCATTTAGCATTAGTACAAAATAATGACCTAAATGTATTAGATGTAGATGGTAAGTTATGGTCATTATATTTCAAAATTAAACTACTTACTTCAGACCAACCAACAAAAGCTAATATGTTAAAGAAAATTGAACAATTAAAGGAAAAATTACATGTTCAGTATCTTCCTATTTCATTGCAATTAATCAAAATGCGATTATATTTAACAATAAACTATAACACAGAATTTAACATCGTTGATTTAGATAATTTATTTAATCAATTTTATGACTCTTATGATACTAAATTATTAAGTGAATTTGAAGATATATGTTCTCTTTATATTAATAATTATTCAGTGAGAAGAAAGTCTAACGAAATTATTGGAATTTATGATGGTTTACTTGACTTTCCTGGTGTTTGTTTCTTTTGTTTTTATTTATATTTCATGTTATTCATTTTATTAGGAAAAAAAGAAGTGGTTACTTTGGAAAGAGTATATAGATACAATGCTTAAATTAAATCGTATTGATGTTATTCCTTCTCTTTATCAAAGAGCTATTCCGTTTTTGTCTGTTTGTTTTTTTTGTAATAACTATTTTCTTTTATTAATGACTTAGTTAACTGAAGTAAATATTGCTTGGAAAACATTCTATGACCTTATGAAACCTCAAGTTTCATTCGAACAGTTTAAAGATGAGCAAACACGTTTGTTAGTTACTTCACGAAAAAAATCATTTATTTCTCCACAACTTATTTCTAAACAACCATCCCCACCTGTTCAGCCTTTAAGACAACAGTGCCATCCCTCTTTCCAACAACATTCTTCTCAATATCCTCAACAATTCTCTGTTCCTCAAAATATGTATCAAGTCCCAATGGGTTATCAGTCAATTTCTCAACAACCTTCTTATATCAATCAAATACAACAACCTATGCCTATCCCCCAAAAACCAATTGGATATTTACCACCTTCATATCCACAACAGTTTTAACCGACTATATCAAAATAAACTCTTAATTGAGGCTTCAGTTTCTTTTGAACATAAAAATAAAAGAAGTTAAGAGATGTTTAATTGAAAAATTAGAATTGGAACAAAGTATTTGCGTTTGATGAAGATTCAAAAGGATTATCAATTTCTGGTAATGTTTCGCTTTTAGACTCTTCAAAATTTCCAAATGGGTTGTCAACTTCTTTTTCTTCTTTTGCATTTTCATTGCCTGAGAAGTCAAAAGGATTGTCTACTACTTGGTCTTGGTGTTTTGGTTGATTAGATGAATCAGTAAAATCAAAAGGATTGTCTACAACAACTGGACTTTGACTGTTCTGTTTTTCTTCAATACATTGAAAAGGATTATCAACTTCTGGGAGATTTGACACTTTATTTGGTTCTGTATTGTTTGGTTCAAATGGACAATCGACAGATGGTTCAGTTTCATTTGTAGCAAAAGGATTATCAACTTCTTTGGTTGGTTCTTCAGCAGATTCCTCAAAATTAAAAAGATTTTTATTTTCTTTCTTTGGTTCATCCAAATCAAATGAGAATAAGTTATTTGTTGTTGACTTATTGTTTGGTTCAAACTTCATCGTAGGAACATCAACTTCTTTTAGTTCGTCATCACTAACTTCACCAAATGGATTATCAACATACTCTTCCTTTTTATTATCAAAATTAAACGTATTATCAATTTCCATTAATTCAGAACTTTGTCGTTTAATTTGATTGTTTTGTTTAGTCTCTGTTGTTTCTTCTTGATGGTCAACTTTACCCATTTCTGTTTTAGTCTCTTGTTTGGGTTCTTCA